CTTTCCCCATTAAAGAAACCTAACTGTTTCTCAGCATACCAAGAACATATATCACAGTTTCAAAGCTTTTTCATATGATATGCTTCTGGGTCTGCAACTTTACCATTGCAAGCTTGCAAGTTAAACAGTTTTGTTGATATGCAACAAGTGAGAGGTGATAATAAGCCACCTGGACTGCCCAAACACACACATAAAACACATAAAACACACTGTGCTTGCCAATAATAAAATATACTCAGAACATAGGACTTCATTAAATGGGCAGGGAAAAGAGGGGGAAAGCGGAGGAAACCACCGCCTTACCCCGTTCCCTGCTGTCTTTCCCCATCTTCTGGGATGGCCATCCATCCATCCATATCCTTTCCCTGTTTTTTGCCTGTCGGAGACTGACTTCTGGCTCCATTTCCATGCACTGTGGGAATGGAGCCCCATGAAATCTCACTGGAAGTGCCCTTATGTCATGTGATGGCTTCCATGTGGCCCCCATGGCACTCCATTTCCAAAGTGGATAGAAATGGAGCCAGAAGTCCGTCTGATGAAATCCATACTGCAACTTTCTTCCAAAAAATTAAAATATTTCCAGTCTGGACACAACCAGGTCTATCCACCTCTCAAAGAGAGGATGGCAAAGTTTCTACTTTTCAATCCATTTAGATGGGGGAAAATGTCAAAGATAAAGCTATATATAAAGAGAGAATGTTCTGAGAATATGTTCACAGTGTTGTCAAAGGCTTTCATGGCCAGTATTTCTTGGTTGCTGTCCGTTTTCCGGCCATGTTCCACATGCATTGTCTACTGACGTTTTGCCCACATCTATGGCAGACATCCTCAGAGGTAGAATCATAGAATCATAGAGTTGGAAGAGATCTCATTGGCCATCCAGTCCAACCCCCTGCCAAGAAGCAGGAAACTTGCATTCAAAGCACTCCCGACAGATGGCCATCTAGCCTCTGTTTAAAAGCTTCCAAAGAAGGAGCCTCCACCACACTCCGGGGCAGAGAGTTCCACTGGTGAACGGCTCTCACAGTCAGGAAGTTCTTCCTCATGTTCAAATGGACTCTCCTTTCTTGTAGTTTGAAGCCATTGTTCCACATCCTAATCTCCAGGGAAGCAGAAAACAAGCTTGCTCCCTCTTCCCTATGATTTCCTCTCACATGACTATCATGTCTCCTCTCAGCCTTCTCTTCTGCAGGCTAAACATGCCCAGCTCTTTAAGCCGCTCCTCATAGGGCTTGTTCTCTAGACCCTTGATCATTTTAGTTGCCCTCTTCTGGACACAATCCAGCTTGTCAATATCTCTCTTCAATTGTGGTGCCCAGAATTGGACACAATATTCCAGGTGTGGTCTAACCAAGGCAGAAAAGAAGGGTAGCAAGACTTCCCTGGATCTAGACACTATACTCCTATTGATGCAGGCCAAAATCCCACGGGCTTTTTTTGCCGCCGATTCACATTGTTGCCTCGTGTTTAACTTGTTGTCCATGAGGACCCCACGATCATTTTCACATGCACTGCTCTCGAGCTACGCATCCCCCATTCTGTATCTTTGCATTTCATTTTTTTTTTTGCCTAAGTGGAGTATCTTGCATTTGTTGTGAGGTTTGTTGGAAACTAAGCACGTGAGGTTTTCCACAGATATATAAACCTCACTTGCCTAGTTTCCAACAGACCTCACAACCTCTGAGAATCCCTGCCACAGATGTGGGTGAAATGTCAGGAGAGAATGCTTCTGGAACATGGCCATTCAGCCCAGAAAACTCACAGCAACCCAATATGTTCCCAAATGATATTAATGTCAGTACCATAGTTATGGTAGTTTTTATGTATTGAAATAAGCTGGTGAAGCAAGACCATAAGGTGGTCTTAGTTAATTTTTTTCCAATCTCCACAGCTGCTATTGTTGGCGTCCCAACCTACCAGAGCTGATTTTCAGAGGGTATAGGGGATTACAGTATTAAGAGGGGAAGAAGAAAGGGAATTCCGGATTAAAAGCCTTCTCAATATGGAAAGAGCCATTCAATCTATAGAAAGAGACCTCTGGGTAGCGGCCTACATATCTTTGACTTTATCCAGTTATTTGGAAGAGAAGCCCAGAGCCCAGAATTCTTAAATTATTAACGGCAAGAGACAGTAGAAAACCTGATAGCTTGTACTTGGGAAAAAAATGCACTGAACAAAACTACTTCCCAGCAGAGTTACCTTTGGCAGTTGCCACAAAACTGCAAAGGAAATGTTTTGCGTAAGTCTTAAAAGGAACCATTGTACTATTCTTTCTGAGTGAATTCACCGTAAAACACACTCTGCAGCAGACAGTCAATTCAAAGAAGAAAAATAACCAGAAGGGTAGCAACTGGCTGATTTTGTTCACAGATCACATTGTGGAAAATGTTCCTTAGACAAACAGTTGAGTTATAGTAGCCAAAGGTATGGTTGTCCTGATAGTATGGTCAGATAGATGATAGATCCTGGCACTATGCCTTGTGGGAGAGAAAAAGGTAATATTTCAAACAGCAAGCAACATAGGAAGAGTTAGATAAACTTTTCCATGGCAGGCCAACTCTTACCCCATCTAACAGAGAAAATACTGTATTGCTGTGAGTTTTCCGGGCTTTTTTTTTTTTGTCGTGTCAGGAGTGACTTGAGAAACTCCAAGTCGCTTCTGGTGTGAGAGAATTGGCCGTCTGCAAGGACGTTGCCCAGGGGACGCCCGGATGATTTGATGTTTTTATCATCCTTGTGGGAGGCTTCTCTCATGTCCCCACATGAGGAGCTGGAGCTGATAGAGGGAGCTCATCCGCTTCTCCCCAGATTCGAACCTGCGACTTGTCGGTCTTCAGTCCTGCCAGCACAGGGGTTTAACCCACTGCGCCACCGGGGGCTCAGTTTTCCGGGCTGTATGGCCATGTTCCAGAAGCATTCTCTTCTGACGTTTCGCCTACATCTATGCCAGGCATCCTCAGAGGTTGTGAGATCTGTTGAAAATCAGGCAAGACGGATTTATATATTTGTGGAAAGTCCAGGCTGGGAGAAAGAACTATTGTCTGTTTGGGGAAAGTGTTAAGTTAGCAATTGGCCATCTTGATTAGCATTGAAGATTCAAGGAATTGATGCTTCATGTCTGGGTGAATCCTTTGTTAGAAGGTGTTAGATGGCCCTGATTGTTTCTTGTCTGAAATTTCCCTGTTGTTATATATTTACAGTCCTGATTTTAGAGGGTTTTTTAACTAATGGTATCCAGGTTTTGTTTATTTTCATGGTTTCCTCCTTTCTGTTGAAATTGTCCACGATTGTGGATTTCAATGGCTTCTTTGTGTAGTCTGTGTAGAGAACACAGCGCTCAAACATGAATCAAGGAACATGAAAGGTCCTGCAGACTAATTCAAACAGAGATGTCAGCTATAGCAGAGCACGTGATGAACCAACCTGGGCACAGCATATTATTTGAAAACACAGAAATGCCGGACCACTCTAACAAATACCATTGTCAGGTTACACAGAGAAGCCACTGAAATCCACAAGCATATGGACAATTTCGACAGAAAGGAGAAAACCATGAAAATTTGAACAAAATCTGGCTACCAGTATTAAAAACTCTAAAATCATAACAGTAAATAAAGAATGACACTCAGAAAACAGGAGAATTCCAAACAGAAAACAATCAAGCCCAGCTAATACCTTCTAACAAAGGATTCCTGCAGGCAGTAAGCAGCCAGACTTTGAATCTGTAAGGCCATTCAATGCTAATCAAGGTGGCCACTTGCTACATTAGCACTTGTCTCAAACAGAGAAGAGTTATTTCTCCCACTCTGGACTTTCCACAAATATAAAAACCCCTCTTGATTAGTTGCCAACAGACCTCACAACCTCTGAGGATGCCTGCCATAGATGCGGGTGAAACGTCAGCAGAGAATGCTTCTGGAACATGGTCATATAGCCCGGAAAAGTCACAGCAATCTAGTGATTCCGGCCATGAAAACCTTCAACAACACAAAAATACTGCAATTTCAAATCAAATGTGACTTTAAAAACAGTATTTATTGCTCACTGTTTTTATGCCTGGTATACTATTTAGAACATTTAACAACATATTAGATGTGTATATTGTACCATAATAAAGCCATGCTTTCTCCACTGATTTCCTCAGGAGGGTTAAGCATGTGCTCTCAACTCTCCCAAAACTATGGAAGAGCCAGGCTGGGGATAGCTTGTCCCCTTGCTTTTGTATTGAGATAAATAAGAACTAACCATCACTGTGAATATAATAATGCAAGTCACATGAATTTTAAATACCACTGTCAGTAACATTCTCCTGGGAATACCAGTATTTTTCTTGAAGCGTTATATGCACATCAAGAAATACCAATTATATCAGCATACTTCTTCGAGTTAAGTGTGGATTGTGGATAATTGAATGGATAACTACTTGAATGTGATACTAAAGGGAAGTAATTATTACAATAAAATCAGGAAAAATTGGGGCACAAATGAACACAAATGGATTGTCGAAGGCTTTCATGGCTGGAATCACTGAGTCATTGTGCGTTTTTCAGGCTGTATGGCCATGTTCCAGAAGCATTCTCTCCTGATGTTTCACCTGCATCCATGGCAGGCATTCTCAGAGGTTGTGAGGTCTGTTGGAAACTAGGAAAATGTTTAACAACACAATAGTTTCCAAAATTTTCCTAGTTTCCAACAGAGCTCACAACCTCTGATGCCTGCCATAGATGCAGGCGAAATATCAGGAGAATGCTTCTGAAACATGGCCATTCAGCCCAAAAAATTCACAGTGATTCAGAATACAAATGGTTTGGTTACAATAATGAATTACAGCAAAGAGAGTATACTAAATTAAAGACCAGATCAAACCTTATTCATAAGTCAACAAGGGAGTAGTTCAATCATAACAAAACCTCCAGGATTCACTTTAAGCATAAAAATGAAAAAAAAAAAACCCACATTCTATTACAAAGACCATAAAAATAGTCACATCAGGTACTTACTCTTCTTGACGTATGTCATTAATGCTTCGATCTAGTGAGATCATATCACTTGCGACCATGTTAAACCCAAACTCTTTAATGCTGGCTTGAACAGATTCTTTATATTCTGGTCCTAAAACATATGGCTTGGCTTCCTCACCAGGGCCATTGACAACTCCATGAGGTTCAGGTTCTTTGGGTTCAAAATTACCAAGAATTCCAGGACGTAATACAGGATCACGGTAGATAAGAGTCTGTGGCTTAAATGTAAGATACTGTCGCTCCATGATGTTTTGTTGATCATTATTGCCACCAGCAAGAGGATTCCCTTCATTTTTGGCTTTATTCCTTCGCCGAATTGCCTCCAAGTCTACCTCCACGCCTTCAACATGAGGCCACGGTAACACAGGTTTGAATTTGTCATTTCCAGGAACGAGGCCATGGTCTCCATTGTTTGGTATGAGATTTCTGACTTCCTTGTCATCCTACATAAGAGGGACAAATAAAACAATACAAGAAAATTATCTGCAGAGTTGGAGACCCAGCTTCAGTTTCCCATTCCAACACATACAAACATACATACATGAACAGACATATGCACTTCTAAGGGAAGGGCATGCCATTATGACAGTGGTTCTTGGCCTGTGAGTCCCCAGATGTTTTGGCCTAAAACTCCCAGAAATCCCAGCCGGTTTTCCAGCTGTTTCTGTGAGTTGAAGGCCAAAACATCTGGGGACCCACAGGTTGAGAACCACTGCATTATGAGAATGCAACAACAAAGACAGCACTTGTCTGTGGAGTATCTTGTTAGATACTCCACAGTGTTGGATGCCCTTTGCAGACAAAAGTATCGGGAGTTCACATTTAACCAATTAGTACATGGAAACGTCTATAAACGACTCTACTGTTTTCCTTTCTCACTTCTTTGGATTGGCACTTTGTTGTCTCTTCCTTCATAATGAAACTAAGTATATTGTTTGGACAAAGGTCATGTGATTAAAATAACTCTGTTATGTAGTGATGAAGAGGACACATATAATACGAATGACTTTCCACCAAAGTTAGCATACAGCAGTGTTACTCTAAAAGGTAGTCTGTTATCCCAGTCCATGAGCCATTAGTTGTTGGCTTATAGCAGTGGTTTCCAACCTTTTTTTGACCAGGGGCCACTCTCCAACATTAGTACCAAAAGGGTTACGAATCAGCTTCTGGTCAACTTTAGATTCAGTTTGGTTATTTGGGGTGCTGATTCAGAAAATTGCATTGGATAGACCACATAAGCTCTAGTTTCTGATACAGAACACATGCCATCAGTAGTTGCAATCCGCTTGTCCACAGAAAACCATATGTAATGATTTAGAGCTGATGTGGTAGTAGTAATCTTTCGTGGGTAGTCAGCCTGCCTCCTCCCAACATCCCGTTGCCTTGGCACTATATGAGGGTTTTGCATGACTAGTTGCTCTCCCACTAAGTAAAAAGCCTGTATCTCTAAGGAGAACAAGTGTCAAGTTTATAACTTTGTAAGTTCCTTTAAATGTGTTGTAACATATGATGTTTAATGGCTATTTTCAGCAAATGTTGATGTATATAATAAGTGCTAAGTTTAAAACTTAGCAAGTATCTTTAAATGTATTTCAGTATATGATGCTCAAAATATATATATTTGCAGCAAATTTTGATGTATATAATAATTTTAGTCCACCAGAGGAAGGCCTGGAGTAAGGTCGAAACTGGTCATGGGTGGCTGATTCATATGCAACCAACATAAGAAGACACGGCATTGATATCATTTCAGAGTGACTGTACAAAAACTCACACAGTATTGTTTGTGATTACTGTGAACAGTATAACAAGTTTATACAATTATATGCTGAATTCTATTATTTTCTATATTCTGTATAAGTGGGACATTTGCTGTGTTTACTAGTTGCTCTCGTTGCCATGTGGTTTCAAGGCAACAGTGTAGCAATTGTGAGGTCATGGACCATATTTTCGTTCTTGCAGACCACTGCTGGTCCATGGACCACAGGTTGGGAACCACTGGTTTATAGCAAGGAAAGAAAAAAAAAACCCATGACAATTGTGACCAATGGACACAAATATGGTGACCTACAGTCCACTAAATCAGGTAGCTTAAGAAGTCCTAAAATAAATCACTTAAAGTATACATTCCAGAAATTAGTTCTTATAAAATGCAGATTGCAGAATCCACTAAAAATTGTTAATATAACTTATCCTCTTCCCTCAAAGTTTCACATTTCATACGACTAAAACAAGACCATCTATACAGTATCCAAAAAAAATAAATTATTTAATTTATGCCCTCACTTTGTCCTTACACGTGTTCCAAGGCAGCTTCCTTTAAAAAAGATGAGGTTAAAGTTTAACATTAATTGTCAGTTTAATTTTTTACAATATAGTTTGAAAACATAATGCTCATTATGTTCAACATCCTGGAGCTCCTAATTACATCCAAGAAAAAACTCTGCACTACTTTAAAACATAAGCTGATGGTTCTGTAATGAAACAAACATCTAAGTAATGATTCTGAACCTCTGTAGACAACAATGGAAAATCTAATTTCCTTTTTGTTGCAAGGCTAAAGAAATATCACACTTCTAAACAAGCCAGAACATCCTCCGAAAATGAAAAACAACACACAAGGCACAACCTGATGAACAGCTGATGAAATGAAACTGCAGTTATGGTACAAGGGAGGCTAACTCAGCACCAGTAAGGGAGATGTCTCTGCTGTTTACAAAAACTTAGAGCAAAGTCACTTGAGGATATGGAATCACAATTCCAGAAGAGAAACGGTCCCAGAGCTATTAATCTGAATTGCCAGAATGATCTCTACAAATTCTCATCTGCAAATAGATGAAAATACTCAACATGCATATAAGCCAGCCTTTCCCCCTCGATACCACATATTTGTGAACACTATTGACGCTCAGTTCTGAAGCTATGCTGCCCAGTAAAAACTGGCTGTTTAAGAAGAGGGTAGACCTTAACCTCAAAGCCAACCTTAAAAACTCTGGTATAGACACGGAGAACTGGAAAGCCCTGGCCCTCGAGTGCTCCAGCTGGAGGTCAGCTGTGACCAGCAGTGCTGCAGAATTTGAAGAGGCACGAATGGAGGGTGAAAGAGAGAAACGTGCCAAGAGGAAGGAGCGTCAAGCCAACCCCGACCGAGACTGCCTTCCACCTGGAAACCAATGCCTTCACTGAGAAAATGCAGATCAAGAAAAGGGCTCCACAGTCATCTACGGACCCACCAGAATACTGATTCGGGAAGACTATCCTACTCGGCCAACGAGGGATTGCCTAAGTAAAGTGAAGTGTAAGAAGACACTAAACCAACCAAACAAACAAAACCAAACACAAGAAACATACAGCTGATATGGTATGGATGTATTATAGACATGCTGAATGGCACTTATATAATTTTGACAATGCTTTAGGTATATGAGATAGTTAGGTCAAACAAGGATTTGAGACAAGTATATAATTACTTGAGTCATCCTCAACCAACCAAACAAAACCAAGCACAAAAAACATACAGCTGATATGGGATGGATGTATTGCAGGCATGCTAATTGGCTATCTATACATATATACACAAAGTGTGTTTGTGTGTGTGCGTGTGTGTGCATATGTGTGTGTGTATGTATGTATATATATATATATATATATATATATATATATATATAGAGAGAGAGAGAGAGAGAGAGAGAGAGAGAGAGAGAATGCTTAAGGTACATGAGATAGTTGGGTTGAACAAGGATTTGAGACAGGTATATTATTACTTGAGTCATCCTGCAAATTTAATGGCTAGGGCTGACAGAAGTCCAATATAATTTGGAGAGTTATAGCTTCCTCACCACAAATTAGACGAGATGATGGCTCAAACACTAATACAGGCAGTGCCCAAGTTACGACCAAGATAGGTTATGTAGGTTTGTTCTTCAGTTGAATTTTATGTAAGTCGGAACAGGTACATTTTTAAGTGTAACTCCAGCCAAATATTTGGGCTGTGCAAAAATTTGGACACGGATCGTAAGTTGCAAGCATTTTGGAAAATCAGTACTTACGACCTGCTTTATGAAGCCAGAGAAACATCCCCGCCCAACACAAATGAATTAAAACAGACATGTACGGAGTTTTCGTAAGAAGTTTGTTTCTTTTCGTAAGCCGCAGTGAGTGAGCTTCTTTTTCAGCGTGAGCAAACTTGAGCAGCGCATATAAATGTGGAATGCAACATGCTGTCCTCAGCCTTTCATGGCTGAGGGAGGGGAAGGGAGGAGGGGAAGAGAGGAGGTTCAAATAGGAATAATAAACTAAGTATTAAATGCAAAATGACAAAATCAAGCTGTGTAGACAAGCTCATATAAAAGATGACATGATTAGTATTTTTCCTCACATACACTACTTGACTGTTGTTCTCAAGATTTCAGTGAAAATCATATTCACTGATGAATAGATCAGAGATGGAATAGTTTAGAAATAGAAAGACAATCTATACACGACACTGATCATAAAAAGGCTTTTGTATTTTTGATCTGCAAGGTTTTTTTTTTTACAAAAAAACTATATGAGTTAAACCTTTCAGTGTTAGTCATATAATCCAGTATCATGTTGAGCAAAAATATTTACTGGGATAATTTTACATTAACATTCATATGCTTGTCAGCAAGAACAATAAATCATAAATCACACTTGACTGCTTGGATTTGTAGGCATATGATGATTGCCATGACTGCTCAAGTGAGAAACCCGAACATAAAAGCTCTGAACTCCTGCATATTATTGAAAGAAAAATTGTCATCATGTAGCACATTTGACTCTTATCTTGGCTAAGCAAAGTGCTTCTCAGAACCCTGTGAGTGTTGAGAGGCAAACTGGGGGAAACGAAAAATGATTATAAATCTCAGTGGTTTAGTTTCATCATAAGAGTAGCTGTTGTTTCACAGAGAAACAGAGTAGAGCATGCACCTTGTAATTAAAGTAAGCAAAATCTCCACAATCCAATACAGAATGATATAACAAAAGAACTACACATGTATCTAAAAGATACACAAAGTTTTGTGTATATGGGGCACATAACGTGATTGGAAACATTGCTGTGCAGAAGAAATTATTTTCAGGTTGCCTTGAGAATTATTTGTTTACAATAAACATTACAGTGTCTAACAGATTACCGAATTTACCAAAGCCTTCTTCTTTTGGTGTGGTCCAAACTAGATACATAAGCATAGGCATGGGAAGATTTGATTCAGATTATCAAGATGATTTTACTGATACGTTGTTCATAATATTGGCAGATTATCTGTTACACTGGAGTTATTACAGGAACCAAGGAGGCTATCAAACAAATACAGTGCAGGCTGGTTGCCAGTAGGCTTGTGAATGGATATAATTGGGCCAGTTCCCTTAGTCTGGCTTGTTGAGATGGCTGTAATGGCAAGGACTCCATCTCCATGGTTTT